ACAATGCTCAACCAACTGAGCCATCTGGCCAAGGAAAGACACATGCTTTAAATAGAAAACCACATATAGGCTGAAAGTAAAAAAAAAAAAAAAAAGGGAAAAGATATAAAATAAAAACACAAATCATAAGAAAGCTGGAGTGATTATATTAATATCAGATAAAGTAGATTTCAAAACAAAGGCTGTAGCAGACATATTTCACAATGATAGAAGATGCAACTCATCAGGAAGATATCACAATTTTAATGTGTATTATTAACTTAATCACATACCTTCAAATACATGAAGCAAAAATGAATAGAATTAAAGGGAGAAGTAGACAAACTCACAATCAGAATCAGAGATTTTAATAACTCAATAATTGATACAAAAAATCAATTTCTAGACAAAATATCACTAAGGACAAAAGATCTGAACATTATGACCCGTTGACTTAATTGATGTTTATAGAACATTACACCCTAAAATAATAGAATAAAAATTCTTTTCAAGTGCAATAGAATAATCTCCAAAATAAGCCATATGCTGGGTCATAAACATGTTTTAACAAATTAAGAAATCTGAAAAGATTGAAATCTTACAGAATATATCCTCTGACCACAGCAAAATGAATTTAGAAATCATAACATTAAGATACCTCCAGAATAATATTTGGAAAGCCCCAAATATTTGGAAATTAAACATACTTCAAAAAAAACCCCACGGTATACTTAAGTAAGTTGAAACCTTATGTCCACACACAAAAAAACTGCACACAAATGTTTATATCCATTTTATTCATACTTGCCAAATCCCAGAAGTATCCAAGATGTCCTTCAGTAGGTGAATGGGTAAACAAATCCTGGTACATTTATTCAATGGAATATTAATCAGTGATAAAAAGAAATTAGCTACCAAGCCACAAAAAGGCATGGAGAAATCCTAGAAGTACATTGCTAAGTGGAAAAAGCCAATCTGAAAAGGCTACATACTGTATGATTTCAACTGTGTGACATTCTGGAAAAGGCATAACTATGGAGACAACATAAAGACTAGTGGTTACTACAGGTTGGGGGGAGGAAGGGGTGAGGAGGTGGAGCACAGGGGATTTTTAGGGCACTGAAACTATTCTGTGTGACATTAATGGTGACTACATATCATTATACATTTGTCAAAACTCACGGAGCTCTGTGACACAAAGTGAAATCCAATGTAAACTACGGATTTTAGTTAATAATAATGTGCCATCATTGGCTCATCGATTGTAACAAATGTACCAGACTAATACAAGATGTAAATAATAAGGAAAAGTGTGTGTTGGGGGAGAGAGAGTATATGGGAATTCTTTGTATTTTCCCATCAACTTTATTTTCAGTAAACCTAAAACTGTTCTAAAAAAATAAAGTATTTTTTAAAAAACCCATGATGAAAAACTAAACTGTGTAAGTGATCTGATGCCCAATAAACTGACCATGTGCCTGACTTCCGATTTTGTCTTCCCATAAGACATCTTTAATAGAGATTTCTCTGCCTTTAATGACTTTTTTTCTCAATCTGGGAGGGAGGGGGCTGGGAGAGGAGGCTGAAGTTGAGATGAAGGACGTAATCATGGGAATATCAGGCAAAACCAGTTGTTCTGAAACTTGGTTCACCTTCTCGCTCAGTCAAGCATTCACTCCACAATCTTTGAGCTTCTACCCTAACTTCTGTGCTGGGCACTGAAGATGTAATTGGCAAGAAGCCAGAGTCCTTTCCCAGAAGGCATTCACAGTCCAGTGGGAGAGAATGACAAGTAAACAAGCACTGACAGGTCACTGTGCTAAGTGTAAATTCAGGGGTCTGTGGGAGTACAGGGGAGGAGTATCTAACCAGCCTAGGTTTGGTCAAGTGAGACTTCCTGGAAGTCATGCCTCAAAATTATGAGCAGCAGTTAAAGGCAGTAGGAATGCCTCTTGGGCTTGGTCAGAGGTCTGAAAGTAAAAAAGAACATGAGCCCAATGGGAAGCTACAAGCAGTTCACTGTGAAGGGCATGTGTGTGTGCATGGGGGTATGAGGGAATGGAGGAGAGAGGTGAGAGAAGGACTGGAGGGACAGATGGGGACCTGGCAGACCTGAGCCTTTGACCCTCTCAGAAGCAGAGCCCAGGCAGCCCTGCCAGACCTGGCAATGCCTATTCCCTGGAGTCTCTGCCTAAGGCAGATGACGCGTCCTAGGGAGAGGCACCAATTCTCTTGGACACACTTAGTAGAAGGAGCGATCTTGTAATTACCTTGGTGATAATTAGAGGAACTTCCATTGTCTCTTTGAACAAACATTGCACAAGCTGTGGCCCTCTCACCCGCAGGGCCGAGGGGAGCCAATGCCTTTATCCCCTGCCAGGCACACCTGACTCACCAGCTGAGGCGCAGAGGTGCCATAGAGACACCCGGGACTGCTGTGGCTTGGAGCTGAGTGCTGCTGGAGGAGGGACTGAAAGTCACTCTTGAGTGTCCCAGGCTGGGCAGCCCCCAGTAAACCCGCAGTCTTCAGATTTGTTTCAGCCTGGCCTTCTGGGGGCACTTCAGAAGCTTGCAGAGATCCTGACCAAGACTTCGAGGTGCTTTCTACATGTGGGCAACCGTAGCTTGAGATGCTCAAGCCACCAGTCTCAGGGCTCACACTCTGTCATCCTGTGACTGTGGACATGGATTTCTGTGGCCTGGACACTCTCCCACCCCTGCCAAATGCTGTTTGGCTTCTTATATGGTGTGCAGTCATATGTTTTCCCAAGAGGCCCTTGGAGAGCCTATGGTTTAGATGAAGAGAAGAAAACCTTTCTTCTCATTTCTGGCCCCATACCTTCACTCAGACCCCCTCCTCCCTTCTTTCTTCCACCAGATTTTTCTCGGTGCAAAGAGTGGTTCCTTTGCTCCTGGGGGGCCTTGGCTTTCCTATCTCCTGTCCCATCCGCCTAATACCAACTTTTCACTTCGTTTTGCCTTCTGTGACTCATCGGAACTAAAGCCCAAGTCAATCGCTCAGGGGTGCAGTGTGTCTTTTTGTTTCATTATCGACCTGTCTGGTCTGTTTTGTTCTTAGCTCTTCAGAGACAGAGCTTCAGCACCTCCCAAAGCCACTTGGTGCCAACAGCTTTTGGCTTTTCCCATGGGGTCTGAAGACTCAGTCATGCCCCTTTGAGACTCAGAATGACTGTGTGTCATATTCAAGGGTACAGCTGGAATTCAGTAAAAGCACCTGGCAAAGTTTTAAGAACTAAGTTAATGTCAAGAATTTAAGCTCCTTCCCATTTCACCATGATAGTCCCACATCCAGTGCCATTTATGGCTAGGCAGATATTTGCAGGCTGATACCTTTCTGTGAATGGTCAGGAGAAGGTCTCCTGTGTTTTGGTCATTTCTTGGGGCCCTGCCTCAACCCTCTCTGGGGATTTTGATCTTATCAGCTGGCTCTTTCCCAGGGGTCTCTGGTGGAGCTTCAAGGAAACACGTTGAACCTGACTGGTCCTGGCACCTGGTATTAGGGGAAGGAGGAAGGAGAGATTGCTTCTGAAGGAAAAGTGTACTTGGCTTTCTCATTAAAGGATTCCCTTAGGGGAACAGGCAAGTGGCAAATATATGGGCAATGGCCAGCTGATCCATTTGGAGATAGATTCAGGGTGTGGTGTTCCCCATAAGCCTGGGCAGGCCCTGGGAAATTGGAGCAGAGCTAGATTCCAGCCCGAAATTGGACAGGCTGCAGAGGAGGTTAAGTATGCCGGTTTCAAGTGTGCAGGTTCTGCTCCATGTGGAGCCTGGGAGTCCAGGGGGGCTGATTGGTTTGTTGCCCAAGCATGTTTCTAAAACCTGGAGCTGCACTGCTCATTTTCATTCATGGACACAGTGACTGGCTAGGAGCTTCAAAGTCTGCCCTCAACGTACCTTTTTAGTCTCTTCTTTCAACACTGCCCAGCACAAATCATCCAGCCCATTCCTGGATTCGAGCTCACTCTGAACCTTCACATCTTTGGGCCTTGCCTCATGCCATTCTCTCTTCCTAGAATGCCTTCTCTCCTGGTAAGCATTCCCCAGTGCCCTGGGGTGCAGTTCGTCCCCCGCTCTTCTCTCCCCGTAAGCCCCAGTTTCACTCTATTGGTCTCTGGTCTAGCTCTAGTGTATTTCCTTCTGTGCCTATCTCCCGTATTCCAGCTGGAGGGTTTCCCTGAGCATTTTGCTCTTGCATGGCCAGCTCCTTCTCATCCTTCAGGTGTCAGCTCAAATGTCACCTCCTCAGCGAAAGGCCTTCCTTGACCACCTGATCAAAAGTAGCCCTCACCCCTATGCATTCTCTATCCCACTACTCTGTTATCATCTTCACAAACCCTAGCAGCATCTGAAACTATCTTCATTTATTTTATTTGTCGGCTTAGACTATGTCTCTTCCTCTCGATTGTAAGCTTTCAGAGGGCAGGGATACAGCACAAGGAGCTGATAGTTGGCACCCAAAAAACATCTGTTGATTGATTAAATGAAGGCACATATGGGGTATTTAACTTGGTTTCCCCTCCCCCAGAACTTGGCACAGAGCCTGGGCGCAATAAGTTTGGTTGCTTTGAATATTTGCTAGCATAAATGCAACCAAGGAACAAACGAAGGGATGCTGCCTTCAGCTTGAGGACTGACAGGTTGACTGACAGTTAGGGACCCGTGGCCAGCAAGCTGTTTATTGACGGCTGACAACTGAATGGGCAGCAAACGAATGCTCATCGGAGCTCCTGATTGGCTGGCTGCAGGAGCCCCTCGGAAAAGGGAAGGGACGGGAGGCTGAGGAGAAGGCTTCGCTCGGAGAGAGGGGCGGCACCAGGAGGCAGAAGGCGGCCCAACCCCCAGGAACTGTGCAAGCAACAGTCGCCTCGAACCGAAGAACCGACTTCTCCGCGCATGGGCCCGGCGCGAGGGGCGGGGCGCGCGCATCACGTGAGCGTGTTTTGGGCACGTGACACGTGTGGGGCCAAGGCTGGCCCCCGCCCCCTCCTCTCCTTCCCTCGGCGGGTGTTAAGCCGAGCGGCCTCGCCTCACCGCCTAGCGCCCCCCTCTGCCGCCGCCGCTGCCGTCACCTCCGCCCGCCGGCCATGTCCCCCGGCCGCCGCCGCCGCCGCCGCCCGAGCACGGCGCTCCCGCGGCCCTGCGCCCATTGAGCGCGGGGCCCACTTGCCGTCCGCCCGCCCCGGGGCCCCCTTGTTCTCAGCGCCGCCGCCGCCGCCGCCATGTTGGGTTTAGAGCCGCAGCGGAGCCGCCGCCGACGCCGCCGGTGAAGGAGGCCAAGAGCGGAGTCCGCCCCGCCCCGGGGCCCAAGGAGCGGGGCCGCCTCGGAACCCAAGCCTCTCCCTGCCTCCCGCCTTCCCGGCCCGCCCGCCGTGGAAGGGAGCGAGCGCCGGGCCGCGGCCGCTCCTTCCGTTCGCGGCCCGAGCGAGCCCCCTGCCCGTTCGTTCCCCTGCCGCCGGGCCGGGCCAGAGTCTGCAGCGGAGGCCTAGAGAGTCAGCGCCATGGCGGAGCAGACCTACTCGTGGTGAGTACCGGGCTTCCATGGGCAGGGGCGCGGCGAGGGTGGGGGTCGGGGCGCCGCGCGGCCGGCCCGGGGGGAAGAGGCGGAGGAACAGGTGCGTGTTGGGGGGGGCCGCGTGTTGGGTGTACGCCCCCCTCGTTCCCACCAGAGGAGGCGGCTGGTGTTCGGGGGAGGCGGCGGGGCCCGGGACCCGGCGTCCGAGAAGGGAGATGGAGGAGGAGGCGGTGGCCGCGGTGGATGTCATCTGATTTTGGGCGGAGCAGGTGATGGAGTAGGGGAACATGACCTAAGGGGTGGGAAGCCCACGGATGGGAAGTTGGATCCCATGAGCACCCCGAAACTGACTTGAGTGGGTGGCTTCAGGGCAAGAGGAATGGAAAGGGTGGAGAGAAGCGGGCCCGGGCAGAGGTGAGCCACTGGGCTGAGCGAGAAGAACAGGTGATAAGAGGCTGAACTTGAAGTTGTGAGCAAGAGGGAGCCGCCTCACCTGGGGCTGCTGCTTAGCGCTGGGATGGGGAGTGAGAGAGCGCGTCTTGGGAACCATGGAGTCAGTCCCTGGTGAAGAGATCAGAAAGGGAGCCACTTTGGATAACCAACTTATGGAATGGAAGTCGGCGACAGTGGGGCATGGGCAGAATCTTTTAAGGGTTGGTACTCTGATCTTTAGAAGTCAGAGTGGCGTGGCGCCCTGAGTCAGGTATGGAGATGGAGGATCTGCAAGTTATGTCTGTTTTTATGGCACTTTTAAAGATATTAAATAGCTTGTTAAGGACTGAGAAGCGTACTATACACAGTAGTTTCTGAAGTGAGAACTTGCATATCCTGAGAAGGGAGTGGCAACCAGGGTTTGGGGGGAGGGAGATGAGAGGCCTCCGTTTAGCATGCAGAGGTGGAGTATTTGCAGGAGGGCTGAAGAGAATGGTGATAATACCCATGAAGACTGGAAATTGGAGAGTGAGGAAGCAAGACAAGGGATGATGGTAGATTGTTCAAAGGTGGTTTACTCCTTGAAGCAAATGTGGTTAGGGACGGAACTCTAGGGTTTTCCTTCTTAGAGACGAGCGTAATAGAGGGATAAGACGGCGGCGTTTGCAGGTCCGGCTCACCACTAACCTGCTTTATAACTAGACAAGATAGTAAGTTCTCCATTTCTTTTTCGTTATGGATAGAGGAATTACCTTTGTCTTAGGCTCTAAGGATTAAATTAATAACTGTAAAGCACGTGAGAAACTGAAGTGCTGTATTTTTCTGTATTATAATTATCTTAGGGAAACAGGAAAGAAAGGGGTCATCTGAAAATAAAGAATGGTTTGAGGTAGAAGGCTTTAATTGAGTGAATTGTGTCGATTGGGGTCAATGAGTCAAGAATTCGTGTCTTCACATAGGGAAAGGATTGGTGGTTGAAGCTGATAATTGAAAAGTGAACTTTAGTGATGTGTATAAAATCTCAAGATAATTGACTGAGAGATTGAAAGAAAGCAATTCTAAAGAAGAATTTAAATCTTGGTGAACCAATGTGACTTCACATATATTTTTTAAAAAAACATTTAAACTGATTTGATAATTTTCAGCAACAGTGAGCTGCCTGTCATTAGCAGGTGATATGGAACACAAGATTTACAGTTAAAGGTTTTTTATGGACTAACAAACGAAGGTAAAGGAGCTCCTGTTTTGTCTTATGGTAACTTAACTTACCTTGGCCCCGCTGAGAGTCATGATGGCCGCCCTTGTGTTTTTCTGTTTTTACTGTGATGTATAGAGTCCTTGCATGGTTGAAAGAGTAAACACAGTGGCCAAGAAATAGGGAAAATGACAGTGTTTTACCAGGTAGGTTGGCCATGCACTACCTCTGTATGATGGGGTAGGGGGTATTTTGTGAAGTTCCACAGTTTACAAGAATTACTGTACTAAAATCTTTCCTTCAACTTCAGCTCCCTTTATTTGCTTCACAGGCAAAGCTCCTTGAAATCACAATGCTAAGCCCCTCACATGTAGCTGTAACATGTTTTGAGATGAAAGTTCTTACATCATCTTGAGAGTGTGGTGTGGTGTGGTGTGGTGTGTGGTCAGGCACATAGAAGCATCAAACAATGGATGCATAAATAAGTGGAGCAACAAATTGATGTCTCCCTCTCTCCCCCTCTCTTTTCCTCCTTCTCTAAAATCAGTAAATAAAAATTAAAAAAAAATGGTCTTGAGTTAATAATTGTTGAATCTCAGTGATGAGTACATGTAGGTTCATGATCTTATTCTGTATACTTTTACAGGTTTAAATTTTTTATTTTTAAAAAAGCCTCTATACATAAAGTCATGCTGCTTTCTGGTTTCTTGTGGTTGCTTTCTTCCTAGCAAATTCTGTCACCCAAGGGTCCGGCTCACATTCCACCAGCTGTGAAGCATTTTCTGACCACCCCAACAAAAAGCGATCTCTTTATTTCTAATGCCTGTAGGTCCGTCTGCATCACTCCCTTTCACCCGTGAGTACCTCATCTCCTCACTGGTTTGTAAACTCCAGGAGGGTAAGGATGTCATTACATTAATCTTTGCCCTCTCGTAGTGCCTAGCATATTGTGTTGCCCATAGCTGCTGCTTAGTGCATACTGAGTGATTGAGTTACGATAGTAGATTTTAGGGTGGTTCACCCTTTGTTGAAGGAGTAATTAAGCATAAGGGAAACTACAGGTAACTATTTATAATCCATGTACATATAAAAGAGGGCTTTTGTTAACTTAGTTTTCTGGTGTCTCAGTGCTATAAGGATGAGGAATGCTATCCCTTAATAAAATTTTAAATAAAAGCTATTGAGAGAAGAAATTAAAATAATTGGTCGCAAACAGCATAGTTCTTAATTATGATTTACGTACAGATTCTGTTTGCATTCTTTTTTTCTTTTTTCCGAATTTTGTCTATTTTTAGAGAGAGGGGAAAGAAGGGAGAAAGAGGGAGCGAAACATCAGTTGGTTGTCTCTTGTACGCCCCCTACTGGGGATGTAGTCTGCCGACTGGGAATCGAACCAGGGACCTTTGGGTTCTTATGCTGGCACTCAGATCCACTGAGCCACACCAGCCAGGGCTGCTTGTATTCTTTTTACTGTTAATTACTGAGGAAATGAAAGAAAGCATGTGAAGACAAATCGAAGATCAAAGTAGACTTATTAGAGGAAAACATCGTGTTCAATGTATATTTATGAGCAGTGTTGTTCTAGTGTAACCTCTGTGAGAAACAGGAACTTGTCTCTTGATGGGGTCGATGCAGTACTTGTTTATAACTGCACCAGAACCTTGCTAAAAATTACTTATTTTAGGCTAATGTTGGTTTATTATTTATTTACCTATTTTTTTATCTTGTGTTTGTAACACACATGCAAACTTTGTTTTGCTAAGAAAGAGGTGTTTAATCATATAACAATTCCTTTCCCATGGAGGAATGCCACAACTGCCACCAGCAGAACAGCTGCAGACCAGTAGCTGTGGAATTAATGTTGGCTTACAGGGAAAAGGAAGTTAATGTATGTGAAGCTCATGCAAATGAATTGTTACCAAAGTAGTATAATAATTTATTGTGTTTTCTATGTGCAAGGGCTTTGCAAGCATTGCAGTGTAAGGAAATTGAGGCAGAAAAGAGTTTAAGTAACTTACTCAAGGGTGTAAAGTAAAGAGGTTCAAAGTCAAGGCTGTGACGCCAGACTCTGACGTTGAGGCTGTCTCTTCCATTTCCACAGTCGGCACTCTCCCCTCTTTTGCCTGAGTCCCCTGTTCTCCTCCTCACCAGGTTCCCTCCTCCACACCATGGCCATTCTCCTCAGCGGCCTTCTGACGGCCCCAGTCAATTCCTACCAGTCCTTTGCTTAAAGCTCCTCAGTGGCCTTTGGCTACACTTAGAATAAACTCCACGCTCCTTAGTCAGGCTCTTCAGTAAGGCTGATCTCCTGTGTGTCGGAGGAGATGACAGAGGGTAAACAAACTACAAATTACGCAAGAATAAGATTCTTTCTGTTTTAGTACTCTTCCCAGTGAATGAGAATGCTGCTCATTTCACGAGCTAATCTAAGAATTGCATTATATGAAGGTGATACATTGTGATAATGGAAACTATCCTGTCAGGTATTTGCAAATAGCACTAAACCTGAAAATAAAAATAATATAGATCCCTAGAACTAATAGAAGTCACTTCTATGTTCAGATTATTGTTCTATGTCGTTGCAGTCTTATTGTGTATCGTTGCATCTGATAAAAGTTTTTCAGAGAAAAACTAGTGGAAAACGTGTGTCTAGCAAATCATAGACTTTGGATTTGCTCATTATTTTTAAAACATGTTTTGCCTATAGTTAAAGTGCTATGATAATGTTTTGGCGATGTGTGATTCAAACTAAAATTAGCCAAAGCTAAGAGCATGAATTGGTATTGAAATAATTTTCTTCAGTGTTTCTTATAAAGCCTTTGGAGGAAAAAAAAAGTTGGAGTGTTTGTAATAATATCCGTCCGCAATTTATCAAGTAGTACTATGAATTAAAATGCCCAGCATTCATGCATTTTTCAAAATAGATCTTTATGTGATCATTTATTTTAGAGATAACAAATGCCACTGAATTGTGAAGTGTTATGCACTATATAAATTCGTTTTACCTCAACATTAATAACTTACTTAGTTTTATCATTCTTACCTGTTTCATCACACCGTCTCGTGAAAAATCGGGGGATGTCCTGAGAAGAATATCTAACCAAATGCTGTTTTATTTTAGATGGCTGTATTTGGCATCTGAAACATTATGTGATTGATATTTCTGGCAATGAAGACAGAAGGATAATTTGTTTTTTAAAGTTCTGTAATACATTTTCTGAAGTTTAATGGTCCCTTCTTGGGAATTAAAGGAAAGTGTTTGTTTTATTTGTTGTGTGTAGAAATCAAGAAACATTTGTAACTTTGAGTAGTTCTGGATAATATTTTCTAATCCTCACTTGAGAGTTAGAGGCAAAGTGCTCCTTTTCTGGAATTTTAACCTCTTAAGTGTCTAGAGGGGCTCCATGTGACCAGGTTCAATTTTTCAGGAAAAAGCTACAGTTAGTCCCTGTGATCCTTGCAATGAATTGTTACCTCTCAGTTTTTGTTAAAATAGGCCTAAGGCCACAGTTTAAAATTAAACAGACCCATTATTTGTTGTGATAAGACTAGATTGAGTTGCTACAAAAAAGTTAGGTTTGAAAATATTTTTAAGATATTAGACTAATGAATATGCATTAGCCTAAAAGAGATGTAGTAGAAAATCCCATTTCTTGGTTTATGGGTTTCACCCTCACCTGGTAGGAAAATCTGATAATCTCTGTTTTGGAGTTCTGGTGTTGATAGTGAAGAACCACTAAAGGATTTTTTTAAAAGTGCACTAGCCCTGGCTGGTGTGGCTCAGTGGATTGAGTGGCGGCCTGCGAACCAAAGCATCGCCAGTTTGATTCCCAGTCAGGGCACAGGGCTGGGTTGCGGGCCAGGTCCCCAGTTGGGGGCCTGTGAGAGACAACCACACATTGATGTATCTCTCCCTCTTTCTCCCTCCCTTCCCCCTCTCTAAAAATAAATACATAAACTCTTGAAAAAAAAAGTGCACTGAAGTAAAGGTGTATTGTAGCTGTTGTTTATACACTTGTGAATTCTGTGGAATATAGGCGATTACTCAAAAAAGTATTCAGTTTTGTCACTGCTGCTCATTAAATTTTTATTTGAAATACCAAGGTGTGAGAATCTGATTCTGTTCTGGTTTCTTGGAATCCGGGTATCTTTAGTTCGAGGGCGATTGTCATCTCTGGTTGAGACCTCGTCCTGACTTAGTCCCAGTGTTGCATTTTGTACAGTGGTTGCCTGTCATGCTCCACAGAGTTGTTATGAGGGGTCAGTGGGTTATGTATGGAAAATGCTGTGTAATTTCCTAAGTACAACATAAAAGCAAGTTATTTATTCTCTACATTGTTAGATCTAGATAGGTTCTAGCTAGAGTTCCTCACTAAAGCAATGATTTTTATTTCACAATTTAACCAGTGCTTAACCTTTGACATGTCCATTCTAGTGAGAATTCTGTTAACATGTTCAAATAATGCCATATAAGAAGAAATAGAAATAATTTTCCAAATTGTCATTGATTTATACTATTGTCCGTGAAATGTAATAAAGTCATCTCCTTTTAGTCGTAAGTTACTTTGTCCATTGCCACATTCTGTAAAATAAAATATCGTTAATTGAATAAAGACTCGTTTTTTTCATAAGATACTTTTGTTTTGATGTTTTGAAAGCAGTTTCCCTCAAAATTTACCTAAACGAGGAAAGAGCAGCGGTGTGCATAATCCTAGTCTTTTCCTGGTTTTCTTTGGAATGCACAGGAAATTTTTCCACCTTAGGAGGCCTAAGGAGGGGCTGTTGGCAGTTTCTTATCTGTTTTCTTACTCCACCAAGTCTGCCAGGCACACCCACTTCCCTTTATCTGAGGGCTTCAGGCTTGGGCTTCACTTTCCACCTTAACTAGGTCATATGTAGCGAAGTACCTGGTTATACAGACATTTTGACCTAAGTACAGTGCTTAACTTTCTATTGTTTCCTTGTCTTAATTTTTGCCCAGAGTTGTGCAGTTTGACCTTCGCAATTTAGCTAAATCTTCAGGACTTGCCTGACAGTCTTAACTTTTAAAACTTTGACTATGTGCTTTGACTTTATAAACTTCTAGAAATTTACATTTCACTTCTCAAAAATGCTTGCAAAGACTAGTTAGAAGTAAAAGTTTTAGAAAATGAATTATCTATGCCATTGACTATTGCAGGCACTGATACCTTAAAAGTATTAAGATCTAATATCTTAGAAATATTCAAACATAATCTTTTCATAGGTGCTTAGACTAGTTTTATTACAAATACACCACATGGGGCCACAGCTAGTATAGCTAGAGGTAAAGATTTGAGACAGGTCATTTAGCCAAGAGGGAGAGGATAGAGAGGAGGGAATAGAAGACCATAAGTTGGGCTTGAGAAACTGTCAGTTGAAAAATGGGAGGAAGAAGAGTCAAAGGAAGCTCCATCAGAGGTAGATAATTAGGAAAGTGCAGTGGTGACAAAAGAAAAGGTACCGAGAATTTTTAGGGGCAGGAACTAAAAAGCTTCAGGGTTCAAAGAGAAGAAAAAATAGGGTATTGAATTTACAAAGGAAGTCATTGCAGAAAATACACTAATAAAGATCAGAGCGGTGAGGGTGAGAGCCAAATCACAGATGGGTAAGGGAGAGTCGCGGCGTCCTCTCCTATGGTACTTGTCCTTTGAGAGGTAAGGTGCAAAAGACCGAAGGAAGGAGCACGGTTGATACAGCAGGGCGGTAAGGGTCCTTTGTTTTCCTTCCTAATCAGGGAGAGAATTGTGTATTTGAAGCCAGAGAGAAGGAGAAATTGATCTTGGAAAGAGATTTTTTTTTTTTTAACTGTACTTTACGTTTAGAGGTTTTGTTGTTTGTCTTTTTAAATCATAGATTTGTTATGAGTTGTAAGGAGAACTTAACAGGGAATGAATGCTTGATGTGTACATTTAGTCTGTTTCTTTTGGTCTTTTGATTGTCACTAGTTCAGACTGTATTGCATTTGGATGTTCTAGGGTTTTTTAAATTGCCTGCAGTATAACACCAACTGCTTCAGTGTGACTTTCAAAACAATCTGGCCTTGTAACCTTACTTCCCTAGGTTTTCTTTAAAATACTTACTTCAGCCAAACTTGATTACTCACTGCTTCCCTTTTCATTTAAACTGACTCATATACCTGGTTAGCCTTCCTTCCAAGTCTTATATGTTAAGTCTTTCCCATCTTTCAAGGTTCGCCTTTTGTAACAGCATTCCGATTGGTCCAAGGGAAGTAAGTACTCTTCTGATAGCTCTTCATCTAATCCTGTCATACGGCAGGCAAGCAGTTAAGATTTTCTGATTTTTGTATTGAATGTATTTATGTGACTGCCCTCCCACTTTCACTTTGTAAGGATAGGATCAAAGTCATTAATTTCATGGTGCTCAGATTTTTTTTTTAAAGAATGAATATTTTAGATGGGAAATTTGCCAGATGTTAGATTTTAGAATAGATTATCTCCCTAAAAATATGCCAGGGCACATAGAGGAGAGAATACTTACCTAACATCTCTTTGTTCTGTGAAGAAAATATGAAGTAAAATTGTTACTGTTAAGTTGGATCAAGTGTTATGACCTGATTTGCCTAACATCCTAATAGTTATACAGCCTTTAGAGGAAGCAGGTTAGCTCTGCCTATAACCGAATGCCTAAAGGGAGCGCTCACAGAGGACCAGAGGCCCTTCAGGGTGGTCGTCATTTATCTCCAGTGTCCTCCTCCAACTTGACCAGTCTGACTGCTACCAGTTTACTTCTACTTTATCTCCCAAAGAGGCACTTGTTAAATATGTGACATTTATTATTATTTTTTTAAGTGGAGAAGCTCTGCTTTTGTGTGTG